GGAGCATGGGTGAAGGGGGGCAGGGCAAGGGGCAGGTGGGGGAGCAGAGTCTGCATGGGCAGGGGAGAATAGGGGAAGAGACTGCAGAAGGGAGATGTCTGGGTGCCGAAGTAAGGGCGGGGGGAGCGTGTAGCAGCTGTGGCTATGACCCTGACCCCAGGTAGGGCCTGGAACCTAAGCCATAGCAGCTACCTGCACCCCGCACTGCTCTCATACTTGATTCTAAGAAAAGGGTTTTTTCCCTTCATGGTATAGGAAGGGGGAAAGAACCCTCTCCTTGGAATCAAGTAAATATGGTAATTTTGAAGTACAGGCAGTCCTCGGACTTATGACACAATTGGTTCTTGAAAACTGCGTCTTAAGTCAAAATGTTTTAACTTGGAACCTGTTTTCCCGTAGGAAATAATGTTATAAATGAGGGATTGCCCGATACCCTATTTTCACCAAAAATAAACCATAATTGTGTACTCAATCAATTATAGATGAGTAATATAGCTACATTAATGTATATATATTGTAATTAGCAATCACATTGATTTGGAAGGACTTCTCTGAGGTGGCTTTGCTGGACTTTTTGAAGGGCTCTTGGCTGGAGTCTTCTCAGGAGTCTCGGCTGCAGGTTTTTCTGGAGCCTGGGCTGCTTTCTTAAAGAAAGCATCCAAGGAAGCTTAGACAGATGTTTTCCAGGGAGATGGGCAATGCAGTGAACGTATACATCGGCATAGCATGGCATCGGATCAAGCGTTGTAAAGTCGAAACTGACGTCAAAGTTGAAACGGTGTTAATTTATAAATGTTGTAAGTGCGAAATGTTGTAACTCAAAACGTTGCAAGTCGAGGACTGCCTGTAATTTTGGATTCAGGTAAATATGGTACATACTATTAACTGCTCTAGTGAGAACATTTGCACTCTTTCATGCTGCTTCTAAATCAGTGTATTGTACATATACATACTGCAGTTGTGACCTCAGGTCTCTGAAGCTGAGATTTGCAAGAAGGATTGATCAGAGTGGTGTTTTAACAGCTTTTTTTAACCCATAAGAATTAACATTTGGAAAATTCATACTATTGTATGTATTAAAAACTGTCAATTGTATAAAGTGTAGAGTGATTTGATGCAAGCAACAACTTGTTCCAAGTCACAATCACGTGCAAAGATGTCTTGAGTCTTGTAGCAGTGTACTTGCATAACCAAGTACTAATGACTGTGCAGTAGTTCATGAGTACTGTTCAGTAGCATCGTGTCACGGTTCGTGCCTGGCGATGCTACTGCACAGTAAGCGTCTTGTGTAGACGTGGCCACACTTTCTTAATCTTTTGTATGGGTAATTCATTTTGTATCAGTAGGTATTCAATTAGAAGTGATTGGATAGATCTTAAAATTGTAATCCAAATTACAGATCCATGCATCTTTGCTGTGGTATTTGCAGCTCAACCAGATATCAGTGAGTTCTAAAACACTTTTGGCATGGCTCATGTGCCTTTTACCAGTATTACAAGCAATCTTGTAGCCTTGGTCAGAGCTGATTTCATGGGTCAGCGCCTTGGGCTTCTCTGAGATTGTAGAGAATCTCAACTTGCTCATTTTCTTTTTTAGTAAATAGAAGACAGCTGGTTCGATCTGGTTTTGTAACATAATCATCACCTTGGCATCAGAGTCTGTTATTTCCCAGCAGAAGTTCAAATACATTTGAAGTGAAATTCTACTTGGCTGTAATGTCATTAACCAGCCCTAACTCAGTTGGCATGCTGTGCTGGTTGGCAGCAGTAGCAAAGGGATGCTTGAAATGTCTGACCAACTTCTGACTTGTGCATTTTAAAAATTCTAATGGATAGCTCTTATAATCACATACCTTTTTGATACAAAGCAGCAGGATATGCGTAAAGTATCTGAAGTTAGACGCATTACTCACCTAAAAGCTTTAGTTGGGCTACATGCAGTGCTCCAAGAAAATGCCAGTATCTCTGGTAATCTGCCACTTACTGAACTTGTTCAAAATACCTTTTGAAATGATAGTTCCATGTGTTGCTTTTGAAATCTCATTGTGAAACCTCACTCTTCTTATGAACATTTTGTCCATAAAACAGTGACCTCTCCCTTCCCCCTGAAGAGGATTTTTTTTCTATCTGTTCATTACGTGTTTAATGACATAATACCTTATTTTGTGCCACTTGTTTAATGTAGTTCCATGAGCACTTCCACTTTGCTGTGGGGAGGGAACAGTACTTAGTTGTTGGAAAATGTAGCATTTGGGCTCCAATGGTTTTGAAGTTTTTTTTTTTAATCCTCTACAGTTTTGAAGTGTGTTTCTTGTCAATAGTCATATAGCTCTTAATTCTAAATTAATCTGTGCTACAGACATCTTTTATATTTTTTCCTAGATGAAAGAAAAACTTTTGGACCCAGATTTTGTTCCATTTCTGACACTGAAATGGTACTTATGGGGCTTTCAGGCATCTCAGTCACTGAGGTTATAAACAGATGTAGTCTTTGGAGCAGGATCAGCTGTACCGGGATGTAACCTAGCACAGCTGATCTGCCTCATTAAGGAATACAAATGTTGCCTACTGTCCCAGCTCTGGGCGTGGCAGTGCCACACCACACACAGGCCGAGGAATTCCTTTGTCATGCCTCTGCACATGAGGAAACTCAGGCAGGTGCTCTGAGGGCTTCAGGGGCCCAGTCCTACAGGGGGATTCTTGGAGTGCACAGGATAGGCCCCCTGAAGTCCCAGGAGCATCTAGTTGTCTGTTGCAAAAAGCGTCACAAATTTATACCGCCTATTGTCACAGTCACAGTTTTCGACATTTGTTGTGTGGATGTCTGTTTGCTTTGCCTTTGTCTTTGCCATAAAAATGTCTATGATGACACAAAGGCAACATCTGTTTCCAGCCTAAGTATAATCCTATTCCACCCTGGTGAGACCCCTGGAAAATGGTCAATGTGTTTGTTTTTGCATCGTGTCTTTCTCTAAGTGTTAAGTTATTTAAATTGGGAGGAATAGGGGTAGTAGGACCACTTGCCTTTTTGTCCAGTAGCTTAGTCGTTAAAGTTTAGAAAATGCATTGTAGGACTTCCTCAGTCTGTGGGTGGGGGGTGGATCCAAGCCAACATCCTGCACTTTTCAGGGAGGCGTCTGGTCACCAGGCTGTGGACTAGGCTGGGCAGGGCTTGAGGGTATTCTTTATCTCTCCTGTTGAAGCTAGTCCAAAAGCATGAGATTCATGGGACCAAGAGAGTTAGCAAGATGGACCTTAATTTTACATATTTATTTATTTATTTATTTATTTATTTATTTATTTACATATTTATTTTTTATTTATTTATTTTAAATAGCCCAGTAAGGAGAGTGGTGGGTTCTGGTCTGCCTAGCCCACAGCAGTTTTTCTTGGGAACTGGGAGGTGGGGATCAAGCCCATCTGGGTGAGGGAAGCCTAGTACAGAGGTGCTTTCTGAGTAAGTGCCCTGACCACTTGGGTATTGAGTAGGAGGTAGGGAAGCAGAAGGTAGGAGATCCATTGGATCCTGTGATTGCAAAAGTTGACGATTCACCTATGAGTAGGAACCTACTGAATTTAAGGTGCCTCCCCATTTCATGAGCAGAACACAGGCCCGGTAGCCATTTTGCAGGCAAAGCATGACTGGCCCTGCATGTCTCTAGCTTCAGGGGCCCCAGTGGCCCCACCCGTCACCGCTGATTGGCTGTAAGGGCTGCCTGTCATACGGCCCTGCCCCTCATTGCCAATTGGTGCAGAGGGGTGGGACCACATGCCAGGCAGCCCTTGCAGCCATCTTGCCAGCAACTCTTCAAGTGGGCAGCCCTCCCCTCCTCTCTTTCCTGCCTTAGTGGGCTGCCGCAGCGCCCTAAGGACTGCTGACTTCCTCTGGGGAGCCAGCATTTTATTTTCCATAAGTTTTTTTTTTTTTTTTCTTTTTTTTTTTTTTCTTTTCCTCCTCACAGATTTCATGGGCAATGCCAGATTTCACAAAAATCCTCAAAATCGCAATTTTGGTAGGTCGCTACCTAAGAGTTCAGGCACACCCTTTCATAGAGCATTTCCCCTTGGTTGCCAGAAGGCAAACCATTACCTGAATGGCAGATTTGTGTGTCCATATGATTGACCTCTGGAGGGTGCACTAGGTTTCCCACTGAGATGATGGGAGAGGTATGTGCTTCCTGTGTGGATTGTTTTCTTTCCTGAGGTGAGAAACTTTTTTTTTGTTGTTGTTATGTAGGCTGTTTTCAAGTAGTCAGGGTAGCAACATTGTATTCTGAAATGACGTCCTTCTGTCAGGAAGAACACTGTCCTTTTCTTTGGATGAAGAGAACTGTTACCAGTGATTGAATAGTTTAATGCTCTTTACTAAAGAAAAGAGTTTACTGGCTTGGAACCTAAACAGTATAAATTGTTTCAACTACTTCATGTCCTCCATAACAAAGTGATCAAGTAGCACTACCTTTTGGCAATATTTTCTAGGTCTTACTAAAATAATGCTTACTTCTAACCTTGCTGCCAAAGGAACAAGCATTTGGAATACAGAAATTCAGATTCTTTCTTAAAAGATGCTGCTATGCAAAATTAAACCTGAGTGACTTGTGTGACGTTAATTGAAGTGTTAGCTGAAACCGTTTTAAGCCTTTCTTGGCCTATACATATATGCTTAAATCATCAGCCACTTAATTTTATAGATTTTTGTCTTTTAAAGACGTGAATTGGGACATGTGGTAACTTAGGTTATGGTTAAGATTTTTAACTTACGAGTTGAAGCATGGTCTAACAAATACTGCAGTGGAGTTGCGGTCTGAATACCTGAATTCTAGTCCAGCACTAATACATTGGGTAGCGTACAGTAGATCACTCTGCAGCATATGCTACTAGGAAGTTATGTACTTTTTATACCGTTAAAGCAAACAATTTGATTTCAGCAGTTGAGAACTAAAGTCTGTTTCAAATTTATGTTAATTTTATTTTAACTTCAGGTTTTTTCTTTCACTTCAGGAAAAGTTCGATGGCAAGATTTCGATCAAGATGCCTATGTTAGTGCTACAATGGTTCGATCTGGTCAGGACCCATACGCTCGGAATAAATTTAATCAAGTAGAAAGTGACAAACTGCGAATGGACCGAAACATACCTGATACCAGGCATGATCAGTAAGTATCAAATTAAGCAGCAGTTGAGTTAGAATAGTTCTCCCAAATCTGTGCCTCTTGAGCAGCATTTGACTTTTCTGTTCCTTGCAAGACTTATCCAAAACTGGCAAAAACAGAAGGTTTCTCATTTAACCAGCTGAGCTCTACCTTGCACTTTGACCTCTTGGCAGGTAGGTATTCAATGGTGTATTGAATTACAGGTTCCATTTTTGCTAGTGTTTGTAAGTCCCAGAGGCAGTTTGTAGTGTCTGCGGGTGTAGACAGATGTAAGGCTTGGAAATATTCGAAGACTATTACTGATTGGGAACCACTTCCCAGTCGTCTTGGTAGAGGTGCCTCTGCATACGCTGCCAAAGGTTCTAAGTAGAATAGTCACATTTTAGGCATGGCATTGCAGTGCTGTCAGACTGCCACCAGAGGCCTGTAGTGAATACCAAACCCACCATCCCTCCCAGTAGCTAGTGCCCCAGTTTACCTAATATTCTCTGAGTAGGCGAGGAAACTCCTAATTGGCTGGATGTCAAGCAAGAGAAAGATGTCAGTTCCCACAATTGCAGTTTTCTGATTCCCCCCTCTCACTAATGTGTACAAGGGTTCATTGCATTGCAGGCTGATTTGGGGATGAAGGATTGGCCGGTTAGGAGGATACCTGAACCCCTGTTTCTCCCTTCCCAGGGGGCTGCACAAGGTCTCTTACTGAGGCTCCCTTGAAAAGACTTTCCCTAAGGATGGCCAGGTGGGAGGAGCCTGGACCCCTGTTTCTTGTTTCCTGGGTAGCTGGATATTCTGGGATGTATGCAAAGATCTCAGTTTTTAAACAGCATTTTCCCCCAAGCTGCTTATCAATTTAATTTCATTTCTGGTAATGGTAACCAGACTTTGGGGCATTGTAGTCTGACTAGGGACAGGCGGGAGGCAGAGCGGGTACCCCTGCTTCTAGGTTCTGCCTAAGGTCTCCAAATCAGTTGTCAGGAATGGAATAAAATTGACCAGTGGCTTGGGGGAGAATGCTGCTTAAAAGTTGCAGTGACCTTGGGCAACACCCTTGGAATATAGAAGCAGGGGTACCCTTCTACCCATTAGCTACCCCGACCCCTAGGCCATATCAGCCCAGGATGCTCCCAAGTGTGGTCAGTTGCCACTAATGGAATGAAACACACAAGCAGCTTGAGAGAAAATGTTGTTTAAAAGGTGCAGAAACTTTGAGCAGCACCCTGGGAACCCAAACAGGGGTGCCCCCTCTGCACTGACCAACCCCCATTACAAATCAGCCTGGGGTGGCACAGACTGGGTCAAGTTTAAGCAATAAAAGTTGGGGCAATAAAGCTCTGGCTGTGTACCAGAGTAGTCCATTATGGGGAGGGCAGAGGGGCGGGTGAGGACCAGTGCAGTGCAAGATACCTGGAGGACTGACCAGACAGACACTAGCAGCAGTTTGGTTTCTGTGCATCGCACTGAACCAGTTCAAGGACTGTTTCAAAATAATACTTGATAATCCACATATACTTTTGAAATGTAAACCTTTCTAAATGTGGCTTGTACATCTGGATCCTTGTGATTAAAAGAGCTGTTAAAATAGTTTAATTATTATGTCTGTCTGCACCCTGTATATCATCTAACACTGTCTTTACTGCATGGTTCACCCAGGTGCTTGACACTCAGGACAGGACCACCTCTGGTTGTGCATGCTATAGAAAGGTCTGCTTGCTCACTCGACACTGGCCTCATGTTCCACAGTTTTTAAAGGGATGCCCAGTAATCCAGTCATTTATGGAAGAAAACATCTGTTCTTTGGGCAAAAGTTAGATGGATGGGAGGGTGTTCCACATTGGAGCAAGTCTTCCCTTCATCCTTGCTACAGAGTAGGCAAGTTTTTACTTGTATTTCCAGCTGGATAAGCTAGTGTAGTCTTAAAGCACCTCCAGACTCAGATCACAAGTTTCTCAGTGTGGATCACGGAGGTTAAGGAAAGACTATGGGTTAACCATGCCATGAAGAAGACCTATGATGAATCTCAGGCAGAATAAGCCAAAATGAAAAAGCTGTAGCACTTTGAGACAGAACAGGACAGGATTTGAGCTTTACATACTTCACACTTGCCCTGAGTCAACTGACCTTTGCAGTGTAGACTTCCTTCAGCTTTGGGAATCTTTCAGATTTGTGGATCAATTTCCAGCTTTAGGACTGAAGTATTCAACAGCATAGCCCTCCCTGTCCGTTCCCCCATTGTCAATTTGCTCTTTCTGTTAGGGGAGAAGGATAAGATAAGATGGTTCCAGCTTTGAATTGCTTTGCCTTTTCTTTCTCTCCAAATTGTACTTAATCTTAGTCATTTTAATATTCTGTGATTTGCAAAATGAGCCAATGTAAGTGTTTGGATCAAGAAATGTCCTCAACTGTCTGTATCAGGGGGTGCTCAACTTCTGGCCTGTGAAGCCATGGCATCTGGCCCACGGGGCTTTCCACAGGTCAGGAAATTTTGGTGGTGGGGGGAGGAACATTGGCAATTAAGTACTGCCACCCTCCCCTACTGCCAGATTCCCAAGCCCCACGTGGCAGTTGAGTAGGGGCCGGGCAACAGCCCTTTCCCCCCACCATGTGGTAGGAGGGTGCAGGCTATGCCCCCGTCTTCCCCCTCCTTCATGGCTGGATGGGGGCTGAGCTACACTCCTTTTTTTCCACCCCCATGCAGCTAGGTTAGAGTTGTACCGTGCGCCCTTCTGCCCCTGTGCACAGCACAGCCAGATGGAGCCATGTCATGCTCTCCCTGGGAACGGGATCAAAACTGCTGGTTGGAACTAGCCTACTGACAGACCAGCCACTAACCTTTTGGCCCACCAGGCAAAAAGGTTGAGCATCACTGGCTTACATGACATTGATCATACATTATTTGCTGGAACACTAAATTTGGGAGTAATTTACCTTTATTGCATCTCTGTCTAGAAAAGTTGCATTTTTTTCTCTTCTTTTTCTCTGTTTACATAAATCTTTTGTGCGTGTTGGTTTCTTTATCCTTTTCTCCAACTAGAGTTATGCTGTGTTCTCAATTAAATTCCATTCCATTTTCAGAAGACCTTTCAGATTCATGTGATATATGTCATCCAAGTGCTAGTGTATCTGATTCAACTTACCTTTCTCTGTTACCTTCAATATAGTGGCCATCTGTCCCAATATTGAGATTAAACCTGTCTTTAGAAAAGCTTGCTTGATAGTTTTTTGATTATTGAATGCCATGTGATATTTCAACTCAACCTGTAAAAAAGCAGGAGAAGCTCTTTTTGGGGACCTGTTTGAAAGATGGATCAAATGATGCTGCAGTAGGATTAGTTCTGCTTATCTGATGCTCTGTTCTGCCAACAGATGTCATAATGTTGGTTTTATCATTATCGGCAATCCCTCAATTCAGAGATGATCTCTACCACAGCTCATTGATGGGTTTTGAGGCGATTTAAGAGTCCAATCCTTGAGCCACAGACCAGTCTGCAGAAGTTGCATGTCTTTTTCCAGGGCAGAGTAGGCTGTAAACTGGGATTCTTCTTTTCCTTCCTCCACCCTTTCTCTCCTAGTTGGAGGGCTTTACCTCGAAACAGGCTGCTGCTTGGTTGAGTTTGCGGTGCCACTGGAGTCAGTTGACAACCAGCTCTTCCCATTTCTTGATGTCTCCATTGGTTTTCTTGAGGTATGTCATCAATGTGTCCTCGTAGCATATCTCCTGGCCACTGTCAGATCTCAGGCTGTAACTGAGAGTAGAGCACGTGTTTTGGGAATCAAGACTGTGGCATCAGCACACAATATCTGGTCTAGTGAAGTCACTGCTTGAGGATCACTGACTCGGTGCTGGTAACCATGGTTTCAACAAGGAAGTTGGCCTTTGTGCAGTAATCTTCCCATTTGATGCAGAGGATTTTCTGGAGGCATAGTTGGTGATACCTCTCCATGCTCTTGAGATGATGACAGTAGATCACCCATGTCACATCCAAGGGAAGTGGGGATGACGATTGAATTGTAGACCTACATCTTTGTGTCTTTCTGGAGATGACAATGATTAAAGAGATGCCAAAACAATTTCCCAAAGGAGGCAGTTGCGCACCAGATCCTGTACTGGATCTCCTCATCAGTGCTGACTCAGTAGAGAGGTGCAGCCACTCTCAGTAGAGAGGTGGCTACTGAGGTAGATGAAGTGCTTGACTACTTCCAGGGTCTTTCCCTCTATGGTGTTATGGGGAGCGCACACACATTTGTGGCCTGGGGCAGGCTGGAGAGTACCTGGAGCCTCTCTCTCAACCTTGTGAAAACTAAAGTTTGGAAGGTTTCTGCAAAGAGATCCGATGCTATCTGAAGATTTTCCTGAGTGCGTGCAAGGATGGCACAGTCATCAGCATATTGATGGTCAAGTATGGTTGTTTTGAATACTTTGGTCTTCAAATGAAAATGATCCAGACTGAAAATGACACAGTTTTATGAGCACTCGTGGTGCTCTCATGAGGTGCCTGATGACTGGAAAAGGGCCAGTGTGGTCCCCATTTTCAAAAAAGGGAGGAAATAAGACCCAGGAAACTATAGGCCCGTTAGTCTTACCTCGGTCCTGGGGAAGTTCTTTGAGAAAATTATCCAGGAGCACATTTGCAAGGGGCCAGCTGGGGAGTGTATGCTTAGGGACAATCAACACAGGTTCATTAGAGGCAGGTCCTGTCAGACCAACCTGGTGGCCTTCTATAACCAGGTCACAAAAGCCTCAGTACGCAGGTGCCACGGTGGACATAGTCTTCCTGGACTTTAGGAAGACCTTCAACACTGTCTCTCACCCCATCCTCATTTAAAAAAAACTAGGCGTCCGTGGTGTCAATGCCTACATAGTCAGATGGGTCACAAATTGGCTGGAGGGCTGCGCCCAGAGAGTGGTGGTGGATGGGCCATTTTCGACCTGGAGAGCTGTGGGCAGTGGGGCTCCTCAGGACTCGGTCCTTGGGCCTGCACTGTTCAATATCTTCATCAGCGAT